ACACTTTAACAAAACATAGTGACAAAGACACTTCCAACAAAACATAGTGACAAAGACACTTCCAACAAAACATAGTGACAAAGACACTTCCAACAAAACATAGTGACAAAGACACTTCTAACAAAACATAGTGACAAAGACACTTCTAACAAAACATAGTGACAAAGACACTTCCAACAAAACATAGTGACAAAGACACTTCTAACAAAACATAGTGACAAAGACACTTCCAACAAAACATAGTGACAAAGACACTTCTAACAAAACATAGTGACAAAGACACTTCCAACAAAACATAGTGACAAAAACACTTCTAACAAAACATAGTGACAAAGACACTTCCAACAAAACATAGTGACAAAGACACTTCCAACAAAACATAGTGACAAAGAACACTTTAACAAAACATAGTGACAAAGACACTTCCAACAAAACATAGTGACAAAGACACTTCTAACAAAACATAGTGACAAAGACACTTCTAACAAAACATAGTGACAAAGACACTTCCAACAAAACATAGTGACAAAGACACTTCCAACAAAACATAGTGACAAAGACACTTCCAACAAAACATAGTGACAAAGACACTTCCAACAAAACATAGTGACAAAGACACTTCCAACAAAACATAGTGACAGACACTTCAACAAAACATAGTGACAAAGACACTTCCAACAAAACATAGTGACAAAGACACTTCTAACAAAACATAGTGACAAAGACACTTCCAACAAAACATAGTGACAAAGACACTTCCAACAAAACATGACAAAGTGACAAAGACACTTCTAACAAAACATAGTGACAAAGACACTTCCAACAAAACATAGTGACAAAGACACTTCCAACAAAACATAGTGACAAAGACACTTCCAACAAAACATAGTGACAAAGACACTTCCAACAAAACATAGTGACAAAGACACTTCCAACAAAACATAGTGACAAAGACACTTCCAACAAAACATAGTGACAAAGACACTTCCAACAAAACATAGTGACAAAGACACTTCCAACAAAACATAGTGACAAAGACACTTCTAACAAAACATAGTGACAAAGACACTTCCAACAAAACATAGTGACAAAGACACTTCCAACAAAACATAGTGACAAAGACACTTCCAACAAAACATAGTGACAAAGACACTTCCAACAAAACATAGTGACAAAGACACTTCCAACAAAACATAGTGACAAAGACACTTCCAACAAAACATAGTGACAAAGACACTTCCAACAAAACATAGTGACAAAGACACTTCCAACAAAACATAGTGACAAAGACACTTCCAACAAAACATAGTGACAAAGACACTTCCAACAAAACATAGTGACAAAGACACTTCCAACAAAACATAGTGACAAAGACACTTCTAACAAAACATAGTGACAAAGACACTTCCAACAAAACATAGTGACAAAGACACTTCCAACAAAACATAGTGACAAAGACACTTCTAACAAAACAGTGACAAAGACACTTCCAACAAAACATAGTGACAAAGACACTTCCAACAAAACATAGTGACAAAGACACTTCCAACAAAACATAGTGACAAAGACACTTCCAACAAAACATAGTGACAAAGACACCTTCCTCTAACTACTTAATGACAACAAACAGGGAGAGGATGAGTGGGGATTCCCTGATCATGCAATGTGACTGGAATCCAGTCCGTGAGTATTATAGGAAATAGGGTACAGTATTGTTATCTCTGATGTACTTCAGAGAATGAAATGCAGACTCAGAGAATTATTAAAATTAGTTCATGTAAACAGGATACCTACAGCCTCACACTCTGAGAATTTTGACAGTACACAACAAATATTTCCACTAAAGATGCCAATGTTAGTATGGTCATCTATTTTTGCCAGATAAAGCTATTACTATATTGTATTGTATTTCAATAAGGCATGTTAATTAAACCAAAATAAAGTTGTTTAAAAAGCTTTATCTAGAATTATGGCTCAGTCACAAGTACTGTACTGTAGTATAGTAACCAAATATAAGAATAAAATTCTTTAAGGAACAATAGACCTTACACACTAAAACACATGGACATATTGCTTCAACTTCTTATACAACCACAATACAATCACTTGTTTACAACATTTCCATTAAGTACTTACTGTAAACACATCAGTCAATCCAACAAAATTGCATCTTCCAAAACTTGTTTTCTTAAGAGAAATTATTTTAACTAAATACTATAATTTAATTCTTAGTATTTAACTGAAGGTCTAAATTATATTAAAATTTAAGAATTTTCTGTCATGCGTATTATGTATAAAGTGATTAAAAATCTTATCTTAAATTTTTATACTGTATTGTAACTAATTTTCTTTTAAATCTACAATCATGTAATAAGTTCTATCCTTCTAACAGAAGCCTCTCACATGAACCAAGATTGCACTGTTCAAAATTCTACTTACTAAGCAAAGGGAACCATAACCTTCATAACTTAAACTTGTGCAAGTGAGTTAGTGGGGAACAACCACCTGATTTACTCTAAGGAACACAGACGCCCCAATGTGCCAGTAACTCTTGGAGATCAGCTTATCAAACATTTCTTTAGTTGTCCATAAAAAACATAATCCCTGATGTATTCTCTTCTCTTTTAACATGTCACATCTTTGGACACAGATATACAGTAAAACTTGATAATACAAAATACACTAGGCAAACTAAACCCTTTTAATTGTTATGTACACATCAAAAAAGAGTAAACTACAAAATGATCCTTGGAACTAGAGTATTTTTAAAACAGGGTTACTCACTGTTGCTTAAGCTGTGATATACCTCCAAAAGGTATCAAACTCATGAGAAATTCAATAGGTTGTGATCATTGCAAACTCTCAGAATAATCAACAATAAGTGATAAGCAAAGTAGTTTGATTCACTTCAGATTCACTTCTGGTATATATCATACAATAGGAGATACCAGTTCCTTGAATACCATAGCAATAAATCAAAACTTACGCTGGTAGGCAGATACACCATCAAACACGTGTAGATGACCGCCACTAACAATACAAAAATACTCTTTTAATGAACTTTTAAATAGTCCTACTTCAACTGCACACACAAGGCATAGTTTTATAAATCACCAAATGGAATCAGACAATACACACTTCAATGATATGTCACTTTACCTAAAGGCATTTCATCAAACCACGAACCCACTTAATTCTAATCAAAGGCTAATTCTAATTTACATATGCTCATTGCAAAGATCTATTCATCAGACAAAATATAAAACTGCATTCATGGTATAAGATGTTTAGATTTCTTAATTACTGGTCATGGATAACGATGAAGCTGTAAACCCTGTGTCGTCATCACCAAATTATGTAAACGTTACCATCATTGGATCATCAATGAGCTTGCAATGCACAGTCCACAAGTCCTGAAATATATGCAAATTGTCATAAAACTCTTCACCACTTCCATATAAGAAAAAATGCCTAATATCCTCTAGTGCAGGTCATAAACTGAATCTTTAAGTATGAAATCTGTGAAAGATGTAACACTGCCAGCACCTAACAGACAGAGGTGGCCATAAGGTGAGCAATAATGGACAGCAGAGGGCAATCAATTGCTATGAGCAATGAATAAATTGCAGCATTCTCACCCATTTAAATCACTAGGAATCATCATAAATCAGAAAGTTAACTCTGAAACCAGTGAGGATGGTTATATTAGCATCTTATAGCTTGTCTGCTCAAATGCCAGTAAGGCCACATTAGGAGATCAATGTCCATGTATCAGTTCCCTGACACTTTAGCACTTCATGCATAAGAAAGAAAAAAAGTATTAACTCAATCTATTAATCATTTCTTCTGACATAACTTAAAAGAAAATCACTACCAACTTAAACTACCTCAATATCACCAAATACCAAACACGTTCAAACAACTGTCTAGCAAAAGCCACAACTGTGAAGTAACAACGAATAGACAAAAAACATGAAAATCACCTATTCTATCAGGTATGTCCACAGAACTATTTGTGGAAGCTCTTGACAGTCCAAGTAAAGTACTGATGTCTGGAGTATAATCCACCTTTTTCGTTACAGAGGATTTGGGTGAAGGACTACCCCAAGACAATCATTTTGCTCATGTGGCTTTGTAATGCATATGACTAAGGGTAGACTGTAATGCATTCATTGCCTACAACAGTACTTTTTCCTTTAGAATGACTACAATCCCCTGCCTGTGAGGTGCTTCAAAGTGTTTTATCTCAGATCTTTTGCAAGGCTCCACAGGATATAAATATTAAGTGTGATTCTATATTATCTATTTTCAGAGATCTCTGTTCTAACTAAATTTTAAAAGCAAAAAAAAAACCTTGAGTAGAAACTATAAAATCCAGAGTGACAGTTAATGAGTGTTTGAAAGAGTATAAAATAAAGACCATGGAAGAGCTATATACTTAAAACAGGTGTGGTAATATTCCTGAATCATGACCTAACTCTCCACCAGGGATGGAGTACGTATTCATATACATTACAATCGGAAATCTAAATACAGTATGTATTTAGTACATTCCTATTTGAATCTTCGGGCAAAGTATTAATAATCGCAGAATAATCTGACGAAAAATATTTGTTTTGACAGAAATAACCATATACTTGGCTGCTGAATTTACTTTTGGATGAATGGAGAGAGAGTTTTTTGGATGTACAATCGGCTTATTAAATCCATGACAAGTCACCCGAGAAGCTATATTGTAATATCATACAATAAAATTAAATATTTGAACACTTAGTAAATAACCTAAAACTCTCAACGATCATCACTGTGGGGAATTGGTTGTTGGTGACATGTTCGTATCGTGTGTGAGACGTAAGCCCGTGTGATGCCAAATTGAAGATCAAATTTGTTTGAATAATAATTTCTGATTCCTATTTGACATTGGCCTTAAATTTATATATATATCAGTCATTATTATAGGCAATTGTTAAGAAAATTATTTTGTGTGCCAAACATGTACAGGTACTATACAGTATTATGTACACTAAAAATTTTTATTTGCCAAATAGTAGTAATACAGAGTGTTACTGCACTACAGTAAGAGGAAAATATAAATAAATATATCTACTACAATGTGGGTTTGATATACATAAACTGAATACCAATCATAAAATCATCTACCAACATATCATACTTATAGCAATAGAGTTAGTTTTTAACCAATAATATTCATAAATGCATTCATAAAATACAGGTACAGGTTGACAATCCCTTTATCTGAAATCCTTGGGGCCAGATGTGTTTCAGATTTCGAAATTTGTCAGATTTCAGAATGGTTATTTTTTTTTTACAGGGATTAGCCCACTCGGGCACATGTCACTGACCCACATTGGGGCCTGGGGGGCGAAAGTGTACTACTAATACTGCAATAATAATAATAATAATAATAATTCATAGATATTGGTCGTGTTTCTCACTTTTGATCTTTTTTCATTCTTGTATTTCTTTATTATTATTTTATTAATATTATTAATGCTATTATTATTATTATCATTATTTTATTTTTGTTTTTTTTATTATAAATTTTATTTACTATAAATTATTATTATTACGTTTTGCCCCCAGGCCCCAATGTGGGTCGGTGATCTGTGCACCGGTGGGCTGATCCCTGTAAAAAAAATACAAAAATAAATACAAAAAATAAAAAAAGTTTTGCTCCACAGAAAAACCTTCGGTTTTCAGAGGTCTTAGGTTTTTGGAATTTCGGATAAGGGATTGTCAACCTGGTACAGTATTTGCATTCTGAGTGATACGGTTTCTTTGTATTCCTATTTGTATTCTTAGGCATTAGAAGTATTTTCATTCTAATACTGAGCTCTTGTATTCACTCCATCCCTGCTCTCCACTTGTCATGGTTTTCACCTTTAACAAAATGATGGGAACAAGACACAAAATATATACTTAAACCAAGCCACACATAAAAATCTTGAAAATAAATTATCAAGCAACACAGAGGACAAGTCATATACCCTGTATATAAAATCTGTTAATCTACATCTACGTACAGCTATTATTATTACACCAGGTTTAGGAGGAAAATACAATATTACTATATACAAAATATATCATTTAGTCTGCACAAAATGGCTTCTCAAAATGATACTTACCAGCACTAAATCAGGCCTAAAATATAAAGTTTTATGACAATGAGTTATAAGAGCATTACTGTACAACATGAATAAGAAATTAATCAAACCCAATTTTACAAACAGATGTTTTTATGAAGGCAACATCAAGGAAATACTGACACCCTTAATGCACCTTTTAGGCATGGGAGGCACTTATACTGTAAGTAAGAACTAAAGCTTGCAATATTTTGTATTGTAAATGATACACTGGCTTATATATCACACTAGATAATACCAGACTACATAACATAGTATAAGCACAAGCAAAGACAGAAAACTACATAAAAATGCTTTTACTTTTTATCTTACCTTCTAATTCCCTATTGCAGGAGGCTAACTAACTCTATTCTGATTGGCTTAATACTTCACATCATCACAGGTTTTTTAACATGATAGCTTAACCACAAGCAAAATGATTCATCTTTCCAAGAGAATATTACTGTACGTACCTATACTATATAGTTACATCTGTACAGTATTTTGAAGGGGGTCCGTGAAGGTCAGATAAAAATTTAACATTTATGTTCACTATATTTTTATATTAAGTTGTTCAATTTTTGTCAATATATACCAGATGTTATGTATGTATTTTTGGTTACTGAAGAAAACCAGTAAATCTGTAGGGTGGCATGGGATGCTACTGTACACGGTCAGGTAACATACAATTGTCATCGTCGTCAGGTTTTGACTTCTAGAATGTTTACTTTATTCATACTTTGTGTATGTCACACACTGTATGAGGTAATGAATTTTCAATAAAATAAAGTATTTCATTGCATGGAAAGTTGTGTTTATGTGCTTATGTGCATTTTTCTAGGGAGGGGGTCCATAGCTTTCACCAGATTCTCAAAGGGGTCCGTGAATCAAAAAAGGTTAAGAACCACTGTTGTAGACTATTCTTGGGACTTGATGTGAGGGAGGTAGAGTACGCACAAGGAGGTTGTGCAATATTCTACTGGTTTTGGATAGTGGCAATGGCATATCAATATACTTGGAGGGCAACATTATATTGTATGGCAATTCAAAAATCAATAAACAAATCTCAAGAAATTGATGAAACTGAATGATATCTTCTGAAAGGAGTCAATGCAAGTACAGAATTCAATGTGCCATGCAGTCTTACTGATTCAAGCCTACATATCTGTGTACAGTTTTACTGAGGTTTCTTCAATGACTGACAAATTATGGAATACACCAAACAAAGGAACTGACATAATCTAAGCAGGGCCTACTGTATGTGCTCCCTGGTCTCTAGGATACAAGAAGTATAAAATTGTATTGTCATGCAACAAATTAATAAAAAATGGAACAGGAATTGAAGAATAATTTTCTGTGTTTATCAGCAAAAATTAATAAAGCAAAAATATGATTGGATGTTTAGACAAATGGAAATTGAATAATTTAAAAAATTTATGTATATCACACTAAGTAAGGAGAGGAATACTGTATTAATACAAGTAAAAACTATTGCTAAAATGGCATGTTGAAAAACCAAAAGTGTTTAAGCTGTGAAAAGGTACTAGCAATAAAAAGAGAGCATCTTGGGACATGACATACACTCAACTGTGGGGAGTGCTTGTGAAGCATTGCACGTGTGAAGATACAAGTACAGTACTATTAATCAGATGTGAAATAATGTACAACATAAAAGGCAACAAGTCAATCTGAGATGTCAAATCCACTCCATCTGCGGCATACAAAACCAATGGTCACAACTATCCCATAAATTGTGGTACTTTTCAAAACTATCTTTACAAATACAGTATATATATCTTCCATATAAACCAATTTAGAAAAAATAAATAAATCCCATAGAAAATTATTAGGTAACTTTATTTTTTTACAGTTCTGACTACACAGACAACTTATCATTACCACCTGACACCCTCCCCCCCCCTCCACCTGCCTAATAAGAAAAAATATCCACAAAATGAAAGGTATTGGCATTAATGAGGAAAGTCTATTAATTTGTGGTGGGAACAATCCTCATGTCTGGAGGCAGCAAAGTGTAATGACTTCATATTTCATGGTATACCCACCAAAAAAGTTCGTTGACCTCCCCCTGAACCACGAACATATGAGATATTCAGACTCGTGAACCAGAAGCAGTAGACCAATGCATTATTCTGTCCATAAAGGCTTCGAGTTCACGAGCCTGACTCTCCCGTAGGTTCATGTTTCAGGGGAGAGGCGACAGGACTTTTTTTGGAGGGTGTACATAAAAAAAGGGGGATCAATAACCATGGATAACGAGAAAACCAGAGAATGATTTAGCGCTGTATTGACAAATGAACATGAGTGACAGAGTAAAGAAATGTATACTGCAGTAGGACTGACAAGAAACAAAGTATCGGGGAGAATAAAGATTGCTGGAGAAAAGTTGAGACATGTTACATTTATGATTATATTCCACTGTTGTATTCTTTGACCCTGTATTAAATGTTGGATTAATAAGCTTTAAAAAAAATGTCCACTACTGTATAGTGGTCCCTCGCTTAACGAACACAATTCGTTCCACAGAGTCGTTCGTTAACCGAAAATTTCGTTAACCGAATCCATTGTTTCAATGGGATATTGGGTAATTGGTTCAAGCTCACAGAAAAGTACATACAAAGTAAAAAAAAAAAATGCACTTAAGTACAATTACTTTGAGGTGTGTATGTAGAAGGTTCCTGGATGATGATGATGGGAATTAGAAGTAGGGTGGAGAAGGGAGAAGAGAAGGAAGTGGGGATGGAGGAGAAATCACCTTTCAGGGGACCCATGCTTGATGCAGTAGTTTCACCAATAAAATTTTAAGTTCACTAGGTGTAATTCAAGATTATTATATTTAAATCAACACTGCACTGCACTATATATTATCAATATGTTAACTAAATTTCAGAATGACCAATAATTTTAATGTAAAAATGCAAAAATATTCAAGACACCAACAAAATTGATGTTCACAAAGCCAAACTGACACCTGGTGGCTGAGTCAAGCGGCTGATGGGCGCACAAAAAACTAGTTCCCTGTACTGCACATATTATCAATATGTTAACTAAATTTTAAAATGACTAATAATTGTAATGTAAAAAATGCAAAAAATATTAAAGCACAACGTTCTTGATATTTAATCCACTGGAAACGAATGTAAATATAGAACAGATTACAGTGGTGCCTTGGTTAACGAGTTACCTTCCATAAGATTCTTAACTTCGGTTAACGAGCAATCCCTCGATTAACGAGTTTCTTACGAGCCGACCTGAACATGTTTTCGCTTGCATTTGGCGGTCCACCAGCTGTAGTATTAGTCCGCCAGTACAGTAATCGGTTCTAGGGCTTAAATTCCTTACCATTTTAGTAAATATCAAGAAGTTTATACTATTCAATTATTTCAAAAGTTTAATATTAAATTTTTTAGTCATTTTAACAATTATTGAACATAATTGAAGGTAAGGTCACTAGTTTCATGCACGCCATCCAGCCTACCAACACACCATACAGGCGTCAGTCTTTGTGTCTTTTCAGTGGAGGTAACATCTTGCTTGAGACTCTCTTCAACTAAACGCTTTTTTTCTGTGTTTCCAAGCAAATTATTGGTCATTTTGAAATTTATTTTACATATTGACAATATATAATGCAGTGCAGTGTTGATTTAAAGAAAATATCTTGAATTACACCAAGAGAACTCAAATTTTATGGGTGAAATGGCGCCATGGGGTGACTTCTCTTCCATCCCAATGCCTTCTCTTCTCCCTTCTCCTCCACCCCCATTCTAATTCCCATCATCATCATCATCATCATCATCATCCAGGAGCCTTCTACATACACACCTCAAAGTAAGTGTACTTTTCTATCTTTTTTGTTGAATCTAGGTAATTTTCGGTGAGCTGGAACCAATTACCCAAAAACCCATTGAAACAATGGTTTCGGTTAACGAGTTTTTCGGGTAACGAGCAACCTTCTAAAACGGATTGTGCTCGTTAACAGTGGGACCACTGTACTGAATTGGAAGACTAGCCCATCAGCTGATGCTCACAACAAAACGTGTTTTTCGTAAGGATTTCGTTAATCAAAGTTTTGTTCGTTAACCGAATTGAAGATCCTTATGGGAGGTAATTCGTTAACCGAAATTTCGTTAATCGGACCGTTCGTTAACTGAGGGACCACTGTATCTACAAATTATGAACTTGTAAGAAAACTTAGGGATTGTTAAATTATTCCTTAAAACCAAATTATAAAATATTTCTTTATATTCAAATACACTGTACTGTGATAATATATTAAAGTTTCTTGCCTAATATATTTCAGTGATTTAAATACAGCATTTTAATCCCCTCAGTGAGTAGTAATTGACCATATTTAAACAAAAATAAAACATTGTCAGTCTTGGGGATCAACACATAATTTGGTTTAGATTTAGGTTTCAGTTTAAAAGAACACCACAACACTGGGTCAAATCCTGGAGCCCAGTTGGGTTAGTAAGGTATTAAACCAAGTCTGTGCAAAGCTGATCAATTATGGTGTCATCCAATACAGATGATGAGATGGCATAACCAATGTTAGCATACGTTTACTTTTAGTGCGGTGATCTATTACACAAATGTCTCACATCTACTGATGAACTACTCTGAGCAAGCAGACACCCATGCAACCATCACCTTATCAAGGCTCCGTCTCCATCAGGCAAGAATGAATATCATGAAGATTCTGTAAAAGTCATAGTGGTTATTTACTAGAGTTCATCTCAGCACAGAGAAGTGATAAATCCTCATTCACAAGATCTGTTGTATTAGTGTGAATAGTAATTGCTTGAGAGATAATGTACAGGCTTTGTCATATTAGTAGAATGAAAAATTGCTTCAGACTTAAACTTTGAAAGAGAAAGAGTTCTCTGTGTTATTTGACAGACAAAAGTACAATGCAACAGAACCACCATTCTCCACAACACATGCCTGAAAGAAGTCTAAAAATACTTAGGAACCTAACCTAACGTTACCCAAACTTCGTTATCCCGTCAAAACACAAGTAAACCCATAATCAGACCTGTCAGAGCACCATATACATTGTTAGAGCACCATATGCATTATACACCAATAAGAATAAAAGAAGAGTTAATCTATGTCCTAAAGATTAAGCGATAGAATGACATTTTCCCACAATACTTCAAAAAGAAAATACACAGTACTCCAGTTTAATAGAAAATGAATGATATGCAATTCTTAACCTGATGTCAGGTGGGTTCTATCTTATATAATATAAAAAGAGAAAATAAAATTGTCCGAAAATATATCCGGACAGAACAAAATTGGTCTATTTTGCCTCTAATATTTTGTCTAATTTCTATTATTTACCTTGAAGCTGATCATGAAAAGTATGAGTTGCTGTGATTCATAAAAAAGGTAGAAACATTTATACTGCTCATGAAATGTATTATTCATGAACAGTACTGTATACAGTGGCCGCAATTGAAATCTTTACATTTTTGGCGCAAATGAAAAGTTTACACGGCGTGCAGTGTAATGATTTTAATTGTTCCCGGGCATACACAAATGGGAGGAGCTTGTGATCTCGTCACCGCCTCCCACACACCCCCAGCCACCAAGGTCACTCGCTTGAGTGAGCCACGCTCTCTGAAAGAGAGAGGTGCAAATATACATATCACCACCACCCGGCATTCTTCACTTTCGTGCCCACTTTGAGAGCCTATATCTCCACTCAGACTGAACAGAATGGGTCGCAACAACCTCACAATAAATGAAAAAGCTCGGGCTTTAACCCAATTGGAGCTGGGAATGTCTAAGCCTCTTCTTCATAGCCTCGGTGAGAAGAGGCTTCTTAGCGGTGTGCCGGGTCGGTAAACCGAGGTCTTTCTGGAGACGATGTTGCACGGTCCTGATTGCCACATGTTTGAGGTCGTCTGGGTGCTTTTTCTTCAGTGTAGAACCTGTTACAGCAGGATCAGATATCACTTCACTCTTCAGGATGTTGTCTGTCCTTGGTGAAGTCTTCCTAACTGCCCCAGATCCCACTTTCCTCTTCGGTATAGCGCTGGGTGGCAAGTCGCCGCTGCGTTTCTGAGGTGGTATATGGCTTGCCTTGAAACTTTTAAGTCTGCGGCTACACGTATCACAGACATCCCCAGTTCCAATTGGGTTAAAGCCCGAGCTTTTTCATTTATTGTGAGCTTGTTGCGACCCATTCTGTTCAGTCTGAGTGGAGATATAGGCTCTCAAAGTGGGCGCAAAAGTAAAGAATGCCGGGTGGTGGTGATATGTATATTTGCACCTCTCTCTTTCAGAGAGCGTGGCTCACTCAAGCGAGTGGTCTTGGTGGCTGGTGGCTGGGGGTGTGTGGGAGGCGGTGATGTGATCACAAGCTCCTCCCATTTGTGTATGCCCGGGAACACAATTAAAATCATTACACTGCACGCCGTGTAAACATTTCATTTGCGCCAAAAATGTAAAGATTTCAATTGCGGCCACTGTACACAATAGCTTTATATAAATATATATAAAAATCTGAAAATCAACAAATTCTGTATTCTTAATTCTTTAATTGTATCATTATTTGGAGATAATATAATTCCTTGAGAATTATCAAAATCATTTAAGAATGGATCTGAGTGAAAATGACTACTGTATTGTACTGTACTTAAGGGAATGAATTAAACTGATATTAGGTGAAAGTGATCACTGTTCAAGAGCGACAAGTGAAGGAAACCGTAGACAACCCATAGAACATTTTTCTTATTGTAAATGAAAGTTTCACAAATGTTGACAGGAAGTGAGTAAACAATGTTACTGGTACTGAATTTTGGAAGCAACATCAGCAACTAAAGCTTTATTTAAGTCACTCACAGAGTGGGCACACAAGGATGATAAGAACATTTGTCAAGGACTCTGGTAGCATCAATGGCAACAGCAGAAGGTTCAGCAAGGTTTTGCAGAAAGGACAACCAGATATGGGAGACAAGAGAAACTACCTGTTGTCTGGAACTCTTGCAAGCTATACTTTACCAGTGTTAGTTGATGAGGTTCATGTCTGGGAGAAATTCTAAAGTTCAGGAGAGTTCTATAAACTTTAAATAGGGAAGGGATAATGGCAATGAGGCAGAAGAGGGAAAGATCAGCAAGATATTCTGTCTTTAAATGAACAACTGTAATGCTGTATGCTTCCAAGGTGGAAAAAATGAAGGCGATACAGCAGAGTAAAAACTGGTTCAAGGACTTAGGCAAACCTTCACAAAACTACTGGTACTCCACCATCAGGACCAAACTCTGTCTCAGCAAACTCATCACAAGGAGGGGTTGGGATACAACTCTGGTTGACAGGAAAAATCAAGACAAAAAGGTTCATTAAGAGGCTCTGTAGAATCTACAAACCAGTATTGTTTGACATGACAAATTATATATATTACAAATGATATTGAAATTATTTTGTTTGCTCACCCTGAAGTACTTGACGGTCTTGACCTTGAGCTCTAGTGTGGCATCTTCGTCACACAGCATGATGGTGCGTTTGTGTTGCTGGAAGGCTGATACGGTCCACATGTGGTTCACGCCCTCCTCAATGGCCATGTGGAGAGCATAAGCTTTGTGTGACCCAGTGATCAACACCATTACCTGGAAGTAAAATCCCAACCAAGTAAATTCAACTTTAACCAAGGTTAATTGGTGTACAGTTACTTGTGAACATTTCCTTAACCAAAAAGATTTTCCATAAAGTAAAAATTGATCTGCTGTATACATTTGGGAGCTGCTCTTGATTATGTCTGCCAATTGCACAGTATTCTCTAAACCTCTCTGGCATTGCTTATAAAAAAAAAGTTCCACAGCCATGACCATCCATTGTGGACAGTTTCAATAAAGCACACTGTATACAAAAGGCAGCACATCCAGCACTGCACTCAACCACTTTCACTTCCCCAACTGTAAAGTTGGAAGTATTCACTCAGCCACTGTACCTACATCAGCCAATAACCTCCCAAAGTTTATTATCACTAAAGAGTTCTGGAGCAACACTTAGTAACACTCACCTCTCTGGCCTCCATGACAGTGCCAACACCCACTGTCAGAGCCTGCTTAGGTACTTGAGATATGTCATTATTAAAAAAGCGAGCGTTGGCAGTAATGGTTTCCTGGTTGAGTGTCTTAACACGGGTACGGGACACCAGACTAGAGCCGGGTTCATTGAAGGCAATGTGACCATCAGGGCCAATTCCTGAAAATAGACAAGTTTCAACACTTAACACAGCTGCATGAAATTAATGACTCTCCTTAGTATGTACTGTGAATTAGCTTAGGGACCCCAGAGACTTAAGATCATGGGGAGGGAGGGGGCTATATAATCATCCTTCCCTACAATTCAGATATCAGGAAAAAACAAACTTTTTATCAACAGCATCTCGCGCTAATGAATCCTGTTATAATGTCAGTACATACACTCTAGTTCTAAAATTCTTTTTATTTAGTACTTTGTGTAAGCCTTCCTTCTGGAACAGCCAACCAGCTCAAGCTGTGGTAAAGTATCAAGAGCAGTATTGAGCTTCAAAATAGCCCTTGATAAGACTATCAAGAACAATGGAGGGATCCTACACAGGACAGTATTACTGGTAACAAAAAATTCAAAACTATGCTTCTTTTTTTTTTTGCATTAATGAGGCTCATTCAGAATACTCGAAAACTATGCCATGTGTACTTGACCAGTTATAAATAAAGGAGCCAGTTTTGACAGTACCTGTATATTGTACATGCAAGAGGAGTTAGGTTACCTCCAATAAAAAGCTCAATGCCTCCAGCTTCAACAATCTTCTTCTCATAACTCAGACATTCCTGCTCCAAGTCTTCTGCATTGCCATTCAGGATGTGGACATTGACTGGGTTGATGTCAATGTGCTTGAAAAGGCTCTCCCACATAAATGTGTGGTAGCTCTGGACATGATCCCGAGGAATACCTAAAACACAAGAGTTCCTAAAGTACAAAAGAATCAGAGTTTCTAAAACAAATATGAACAACCAAGAACTGCACATTGACCTAAAAAAAAAGGAACAACAGGCATTTGGGTTTCTGGTGGAAAAGTGAACATTCAAAGTACTGTAACACAAATGGCTGAGAAATTCCAGGAATCTTTGAAGAGAAGTTAGCTAGATACTATATAGTTTTCACTTAATGCTTAGGTACAGAAGGTCCCTGAAATACATCGGGGTTAGAGACCAAAGTCGCAGGATGTTAAGTGAGGAATTTCCACCTTAAGAATACAGGGGGATAGTAAGAACCGAAAGAGTATTTACGTCACGAAGCATAGCAATTTCTCCTTAAGAAACAATGTAATGAGGTAGGAAGAGGGACCAGATTTTAAAATGATTTTCTAATTAACAGAAAAAGTATTTGTAATATTATTAAACAATGACTCAAACAGAAAATAATTTTTAGTTGAAATATATTTATAAAAAGCTTTAACCTATAAATTTGTTGATACTCTGTACTTATTACCTTGGGGAGTGGATAACTTCTTGTTTACTACAATATACAGTAAGTACACTGTCCAACTTAATATTATAAACTTTTTCTTCCCCTCACCACCTACACTACACCTGTCACTCATTAATAAATGATTACAAGATTAAATCTAGTAGCACTCGGTGAGATAGAACACAAAGCTGAGCAATAACTCTGAACTCTTGAATCATAACTACAGTACTTAGAGCACAGAGATCAATTGTAGACTGTAACAATCACACACTCCTTCAACTGACAATATATTAAAAAGAACACAGTATGGACAAAATACATAAATAAAAAAAAAAAATAAAAAAATAAAAAAAAGGGGTCAGCATTAATAAAATAAACTGACAAAATAAATAGTATTAGACAATATTTTGTGAGTGAAGATGTTCCTTAGTGTGAACTCAACGTACAGTAATGTGAAACATCCATATATAAGACTTCTCTCTCCATACAATCCATTAAATGTTGGGTATCACATCTGACGGACACTCGATATAATGGACTTTCATCTTTATTAATTCATTAGATGGAGGCATCACATCTGACGGACACTCGATATAATGGACTTTCATCTTTATTAATTCATTAGATGGAGGTATCACATCTGACGGACCCTCGATATAATGGACTTACATCTTTATTAATTCATTAGATGGAGGCATCACATTTGACGGACACTCGATATAATGGACTTTCATCTTTATTAATTCATTAGATGGAGGCATCACATCTGACGGACACTCGATATAATGGACTTTCATCTTTATTAATTCATTAGATGGAGGTATCACATCTGACGGACCCTCGATATAATGGACTTTCATCTTTATTAATTCATTAGATGGAGGCATCACATCTGACGGACACTCGATATAATGGACTTTCATCGCCATATACAGTAGTCCATTAAATAGAGGTTTTACTGTATATAAATGATTAGTTCACCAACGCGGAGGAAACCTTTCACAGCGAAGAATACAGTACCAATACCTGTAAATGCTGGTACAGGAGGCCTTAAAACACATACCAACATATTCGTCCATGTTAAAGGTCTTCACATATTTGAAGGAGATTTTGCCAGCCATGTGATACTGCACTAGCTTCTTATACGTGCCCTCGGGAGTGCTACCTGAAAATTCAAGTCCATTAAATTGCTAGAAATAATATAAAAAGAAAAACACGTTAACTGCAAACAAAAATAATAATAATTATGGTTTTGTTCTGAATCCCATTCTTTTTCACATTTGATCCTTTAACATACTTCACAGCTTGTAAGATACATCACAGCTAGTAAGATACATCATAGCTAGTAAGATACAGCATGGCTAGTAAGATACAGCAGGGCTAGTAAGATACAGCATGGCTTGTAAGATGCATCACAGCTAGTAAGATACATCACAGCTAGTAAGATACATCACGGCTAGTAAGATACATCATGGCGAGTAAGATACATCATGGCTAGTAAGATACATCATGGCTAGTAAGATACATCATGGCTAGTAAGATACATCATGGCTAGTAAGATGCATCATGGCTAGTAAGATGCATCATGCCTAGTAAGATACATCAAGGCTAGTAAGATACATCATGGCTAGTAAGATAAATCACAGCTAGTAAGATACATCAAGGCTAGTAAGATACATCACAGCTAGCAAGATACATCATGGCTAGTAAGATACATCATGGCTAGTAAGATACATCATGGCTAGTAAGATGCACCATGGCTAGTAAGATGCATCATGGCTAATAAGATGCATCATGGCTAGTAAGATTTAAATACTTCTATCATATCTCCCCGCACTCTTCGTCTTTCTAAGGAATGCAAGTTTAGTTTCTTTAACCTATCTTGATATGGAAGGTTTCTAAGTTTCGGAATCATTTTCATCATTCTTCGCTGCACCGACTCTAGTGAATTGATATCCATTCTATAATAGGGGCACCAGAACTGAACCGCATAATCGAGGTGCGCCCTGACTAGCGCAAGATATAGTTGCAATAAGACCTCTGCACTCTTATTACTTACACTTCTAGATATAAAACCCAATACTCTGTTTGCCTTATTTCAAACATTAACGCACTGTTTTCTAGGCCGTAGGTCTGGGCTTACAAGTACCCCTAAGTCTCTTTCACAAGTCGACTTCTCTAGGTTGATGTTGTTAAGGCTGTATACATTGACAGTATTTGTTCTTCTAATACTAAGTACGATGCACTTGCTGGTGTTGAATTTCATTTGCCATTTTTCTGACCACTCCTGCAGTTTATTTAAATCCTCCTGTAGTGCATTTGCATCCTGCTCTGAATTAATCTGCCGCCCTATTTTGGTGTCATCCGCAAACTTGCTATGTCACTGCTGATCCCAGTATCTAGATCGTTTATGTAGATTATGAGCAAGAGTGGGCCCAATACTGACCCCTGGGGAACCCCACTGGTTACACAGCCCCACTCAGATTTAACACCCTGTGTTCTATCGGTGAGCCACAGCTAATAAGATGCATTACGGTTAGTAAGATACATCGTGGCTAGTAAGATGCATCATGGCTAGTAAGATGCATCACGGCTAGTAAGATGCATCACGGCTAGTAAGATGCATCACGGCTAGTAAGATGCATCACGGCTAGTAAGATGCATCACGGCTAGTAAGATGCATCACGGCTAGTAAGATGCATCACGGCTAGTAAGATGCATCACGGCTAGTAAGATGCATCACGGCTAGTAAGATAAGATGCATCACGGCTAGTAAGATGCATCATGGCTAGTAAGATGCATCATGGCTAGTAAGATGCATCATGGCTAGTAAGATGCATCACGGCTAGTAAGATGCATTACGGCTAGTAAGATGCATCACGGCTAGTAAGATGCATCACGGCTAGTAAGATGCATCATGGCTAGTAAGATGCATCACGGCTAGTAAGATGCATCACGGCTAGTAAGATGCATCACGGCTAGTAAGATGCATCACGGCTAGTAAGATGCATCACGGCTAGTAAGATGCATCATGGCTAGTAAGATGCATCACGGCTAGTAAGATGCATCATGGCTAGTAAGATGCACCATGGCTAGTAAGATGCATCACGGCTAGTAAGATGCATCACGGCTAGTAAGATGCATCATGGCTAGTATGATGCATCACTGCTAGTAAGACATATCACGGCTAGTAAGATGCATCACGGCTAGTAAGACACACCATGGCTAGTAAGATACATCATGGTTAGTAAGACACATCATGGCTAGTAAGATACATCATGCCTAGTAAGATACATCATGCCTAGTAAGATACATCATGGCTAGTAAGATACATCATGGCTAGTAAGATACATCATGGCTAGTAAGATGCATCATGGCTAGTAAGATGCCTCAAAGCTAGCAAGACACATCACGGCTAGTAAGATGCATCATGGCTAGTAAGACACCCCATGGCTAGTAAGATGCATCACGGCTAGTAAGACACATCATGACTAGTAAGATGCATCATGGTTAGTAAGATACATCATGGCTAGTAAGATGCATCACGGCTAGTAAGACACATCATGACTAGTAAGACACATCATGACTAGTAAGACACATCACGACTAGTAAGATGCATCATGGCTAGTAAGGCTCAAGGCTAGTAAGATGCATCATGGCTAGTAAGACTCATCATGGCTAGTAAGATACATCATGGCTAGTAAGATACATCATGGCTAGTAAGACTCATCATGGCTAGTAAGATACATCATGGCTAGTAAGACTCATCACGACTAGTAAGATGCATCATGGCTAGTAAGACTCATCAAGGCTAGTAAGATGCATCATGGCTAGTAAGACTCATCATGGCTAGTAAGATACATCATGGCTAGTAAGATACATCATGGCTAGTAAGATACATCATGGCTCACCATTTCAGCCAAAATCTCAATCTCTGGGATTTAGTTGAAAATCTCAGTATAGGTACTTCTGAGCATGCTGATTATGAATATGTGGTCCAGGCTTTGATTGTGGGGTAATTAGTTATGATACTGCAAAGATTATAATAACATTTTTTCAATGATGTGTATCCAAGCATTATTATAATAAGAGAAGTGGATAAATACTACAATAAAAATTGCACACACACACACACAGACACGACCTAAAATAAAAAAAAATATAGCTACAGCTTATTTAGCTTCCAGCGTCCATTTGTGATGGTGTGGACTGCATAGTACTAGCTGACTCACCTGTAGGCAGGCCCAGGACGAAGTACTTATCTGGGCCAGGCTGGAAATCATTGATCCTCTTAATGACATACCTGGCTGCCCATTCTGCCACCCTCTCACTATCCTCCAGAATCACTAGACGCATCTGTAGAAGGACACAATAGTAAAAACATCATCACAGTCACTATATTTTTATGTCTGACATATACTAAACAATCATAACTACAACTACAGTTGTACCCCACTTAACGCGGTCAATAGAACCCAGAGGGTCCCGTGTTAAGTGAAATCCGATTTAAGTGAACAACAGAACATATGGGATTAATTCCAATAAAAACCGGCCCGACCCCCAAACTCCACTTTTTGAAGGCACATACCTATGATGTAGTAAAAATAACATCTTAATTTTATGATGGTACATGCACACAATTAATACTTAAGAGAAATAGAGAAATACAGTCGCCAAGTTAATGTCCATTCAAATAATGGACTCAACTCCCTCCCCCTCTTACACTACACTGCCGGCTCTTCCCTCTCAGAGAAATTTTTGGGGGAAAACCACTAAATTTTAATAAATAATACCTCAAACTAAAGTTAGGATAATACAATTGACATTGCTGGATTCCTTGTAGGACCAGGAATATTTTGAATATAAATGTCATATATTTTGCACAAAAAATAACATAGTTACCTAGAGAAAAATTTTCATCTAAAATTTGTATGTTTAATGAAAAATATATGATGTTTATATTCAAAATGATCACCAAATTATAAGAATTCCAGCAATGTAAATTATATTCTGACCGGGTAATTTGTATGAATTTTATGAGCTAAAACAAATATCTTCAGTTAATAAAAAAAAAATAATCTTCACGACACTATCTGTCAATCAAAGTACCCCACCTTGCCTCCCCCCCTCTTCCAACCGCGCGGTCAGTCCCAACCCTCCCCCCCACCCCCCACCAATCCTCCCTTCCAGAGTTTTTAACATTTAGTATTAAATAATACCTCAGATTAAAGTTAGGATAATATAATTGACATTGCTGGATTCCTTGTAAGACCAGGAATATTTTGAATATAAATGTCATATATTTTGCACAAAAGATAACATAGTTAATTTGAGAAAAATTTTTATCTAAAATTTGTATGTCTAATGCAAAATATATGATGTTTATATTCAAAATGATCATCAAATTATAAGAATTCCAGCAATGTAAATTATATTCAGACCGGGTAATTTGTATGAATTTTATGAGCTAAAACAAATATCTTCAGTTAATAAAAAAAAAAATAATTCTTCACGGGGTAACAGATGGTCGGTCGGTCCCTCCCTCCCCCCCACCCCCCACCAACCGTCCCAAGGAGATGTGTGGGATAACCACTAAATTTTAATAAATAATACCTCAAACTAAAGTTAGGATAATATAATTGACATTGCTGGATTCCTTGTAAGACCAGGAATATTTTGAATATAAATGTCATATATTTTGCACAAAAGATAACATAGTTACTGAGAAAAATTTATATCTAAAATTTGTATGTCTTATGCAAAATATATGATGTTTATATTCAAAATGATCACCAAATTATAAGAATTCCAGCAATGTAAATTATATTCTGGCCGGGTAATTTGTATGAATTTTATGAGCTAAAACAGGCAGTCAGGCAGGGTGGCGGGTGGGGCAAATCTAAAAATAGCGTCTCGAGCCGGACACTCACCGCGTATATGTGGAAAAAATCCGGTTAAGTGAAAGTTCAGCTCTGGCGAGGCACCGCGTATATGATAAAACTCGTTAAGTGAAACAGCGTTAGGCGGGGTAATACTGTACTCATGATATAAAATTATTAGCTAAAGTGATATGAAAAGTGATCATAAACAAGTAAAAAAATATAATTTCTATTCCTATAAGTTCCTGTAGCACTAATAATAATATGAAGAAATTGAAGCCAACTATTGTATCGCCAACTTAAACAGCTAAGCCATCCTCAAGGTTGGATTAATTCAGCTAAACTGCTAATCTGACAATGAGAACCTCTATCATTGTTTTATGTGCTTCTTCATTTATTGATAGTTGCTCTCTATTCCTATAAGAGAACATTGTTTTAGAAATATTCATTTAACCATACAGTGACATAAGTGGAGATATACAATAAGGAGAGTAAAGGGTGGAAATGAGCAATGGAGATACAGTATGTTGTGGTAGGGTAGGGTAGATTGCAGGCTCCACTATCAGAGCCACTCCCTAGTAAAGTGGTGTGGCAGATAAGATAAACATCAAGTATAAGTTATTCATGAGCCACACCAATCATCCTCATAATCGACAGCAGACCCAAATCCTTTAACCTTCTCGCCACCTCTTCATTTTATTACTTGTTATGGTACTGTACAGGATACTAGTTTTTCGGTAAACAGGAGGTTACAGTGGCGAGATAAGTAGAAACGCAAGTTATTTTAACCAAAGAGATAAAGTATGGGCACACCTGTTGTGAATTTCCAGAACAACAACTACAGGATGTGAGTAAAAGATTTAAAAGATTACCCAAAGTTAAACTGTCCTGGACAGGAAGTTAGGGACGAAATCATACGGACTGTGACCTGTTTCTGCCCAAAGTAGCATCATAACTAGATGAAGTTGTAATGAGCCTTTTAAATACCAGCATACATTTTGTTTTCAAAACTAAAATATAAATGCTTCAATATTCACATGATACTACAGTACTCTACTTGATAATTCCATCATATATGTACTGTACATGTCACCTTTGCCAAAGAAATTACCAGAAACACCTTCATAATTGTGCACACAAAAAACCCTGGCAAAGTCTTGACTGTTCTGAGGCTGGAGTATAGCCCTACACAGGTCAGTAAAAGCTTGCCCAAACAATCACTTGCCGGCTGAATAAGGACAACGCCTCCACCAATATCTAGCCATTCAAGTCAAATACTTATCAGAACAAACCCCTTACCAGACCACTTACTGTAATCCTCTAATCATAAACACAGGTCTCTAAGTTCAGTCCAACATAGTTCCTCTTGATAAGGAAATCCACCTTGGTTTTATAGACAAGGAGAGAGTGGTAGATTACACATTAGCTGGTGAAGGGATGGAGGCAATCATGTGTAAACAGAGTGAACTAAGCACACACAGGGAAGCAAACACATCAAATAATAAGATGGAGTAACTGTAAACTTTCCAGAGCTCCTCACACTCAGTTGACATAGCCCCAAATAAAGATAGAGAGAGATGATCATTTTAAAAGTCTATGACATGTGTCTGATATTGTGCACACATAAACATTAATTCAATAAAAAAGACATTCGGTAATAAATAAACAATGAATCTTTTGTACACAAGAGAAATGACACTGTTGACACGATTATGCATGTTGTCTGCACATTGGCGGGCCGTTCAAACCCGTCGAAATTCAAGTTTCCGCCGTCAAATTTTTTATTTATTTTTTGTGTGTGTGTGTGTTCCAATAAAATACGTTGAATTAAAAACTCGCGAAATTTGAGAAGCTACTAAACGACATTTAACCCTTCAATATGTCTTCAAAGAGACCATGATGCAGAGAAAGTGGTGCTAGTGCTTCCAAGCATAAGCACAAGTCACTATCTATCCAGGAAAAGGGTGAATTTCCATGGTCTGGCACCGGTCAGGTCCCGAGGTTGCCGGACTAGAGAGGTACAACCTGTACCGTACAATGAGGCAATTTAACAACCCACAAGATACGTCCAAAATACATTGACTATTGTATCTAGACAGCAGTTTTAATTTAAACTTTTGGCTGTGTAATCAAATTTCAGGGTCTCTCAAAATTTTCAATTACCTGTCTGTACAGTACAATACAGTACAGTATTGAGAAGAAAAAAATATAATCTTGCTTTCTATTATGTAAACTTAATTGTGCTATTTTAATACATAGTGTATTTGACTGAAATTTACATGAGTATACAGTACAGTACAGGTACTCTAAAATTCTGAAATAAAAGCAAAACGTTATGAATAGAGCATAGAGAATTAAGAACTCCAGACAGTGTATCAACCTGGCTGCACAGAGATGGAGTATTTGTACAGTATTTGATATTCGTATGCATTAGAATACTGTATAGGTACAGCATTTCATCATAGTACAGGGTGTATTTGTATTCTCATTTGCATTCAAATACTGAATTCTTGTATTCACTCCATCCCTGGCTGTGTGACCTAAGAATCACACACACACACACACACACACACACACACACACACACACACACACACACACACACACACACACACACACACACACACACACACACGTGCATACAAGTTGTGAAAGTCCTGTGACCCTGAGACAAGTGTCATGGCCAAGACCTGATATACAGGGATAAATTATTTCTCCTAAAGAAATAATGATGATTCAGTAGCTTATGGTTATAAAACAATCAAGTGTAACAGCCGAAATTACAATATTTTTATGAAGGCTAATGAGCATTTCCTCCAAGCTGTAAGGCAGGAAATGAAACAGCCGCAGGAAAGTCTTCACTACTGTGGTCGAGGTATTGTCTTCATTAAAAAGCAAGCTAACAGTTACTGATGCAGCCTTCCATTGATCCTCTTGAACACCTCCCCTGCCTCACAACACTTATCAAGGGGAGGGGGGGGTGAATTGTAGGGGGTATATCTCAAGTCCCTTTATGAGTAGCCCCTTTAACCTTATTTATTAAAAAAAAAGACTACCATCCATTACTTGACCTGAATATGTAAGCTTTCCATATTTTAAGGATTAGTTTAACTTCTATAAAATCAAATGTAACCACCAATGGATTGGTTGATTTCCCCAGCCACAACCAACACTGACAGGAAATCATCAACTGGGTTCAAAGTCCTCCGTTTAAGTTTGAATTACCTGTAAAACAGTTTGTCTACAGATTGATGGGTGGGTACTGGTAGTAAAAGTACTATATTCCTTCATATCTTTTAAATATGATATATATATATATATATATATATATATATATATATATATATACTACGACTACGTGGACTTACGACCGTCGGGACTTACGACCGCCTGCAGTTGTGACCATTTTTTCTTAAAAATTTTCTTCAAATGACACAAGCATTTTCTATACCGAAACGTTTCCAGTTAATGTAGTCT